ACCGCCAACTCTTGGGCTACTCTTTTACCAACGAATAGTGGGATTGACCGTCACATTATAACGCCCCCACGGCTGAAAGGGCGAGCATGTTTGGTGTGACGGGGGTTCGAACCCGCGACCCTCAGATTGCGAGTCGAGCGCCCTAACTACCTGGCCATGCCGGGCCAGTACAGAATGAAACAGGAATTACACGCCAGTATTAGATAAAGAATAAATATTACAGTTGTAACCTCATTACATTTAGAACTTGGTTATAAGTACAACCTTCCTATGTCTATTGAAATGCTGCTTCAAAAAATGCAAAGAAAAACTTTTTTCCAAAAAATGAAGTAAATGTAGGGATGGTTAATATCAACCTTTAAAAAACAATGCAAACAAGATAATAGGGATGGCATTTGCATCATCCCTACATAATAGCAAGACAAGAATTAACATATAGCAATATATATAATTATTCAATCACAGTTGAGTTGAGTTTACCCAATTTTTGTCTGTTAATATTCTACTACACTATGCAAATACCATCCCTATTATTTTGTTTGCATTGTTTTTGAAGGATTGATATTAGTCATTCCTACATTTACTTCCTTTTGTGAAACGTTTTTTTTTACTTGTAATATATATATAAAATCATAAAATGACTATATTATATATATGTTAAACAAAATGTTAATAGCATTGATGAAACGGACACAAAATAGTGTCTCCAAATTCAACATCGGTAGTCTATTCTCTTCAAATGTTGTTTCAAAGACAATGTTTTACAAGATGGCAAATAATCATCCTGTTGTGAGCTTCGACAGAACACGTTAAATTTAAGTTTGTTAAGGTTTAATAAACCTATACCAATTCATGGTTGATAAGTTAAAAAAGACAAATGTTGTCTTTCTCATCTGTTAATTCCAAAGAAATTTCCATTTCAGATAAAATTTGAGAGCTTATCCCTTCTGAGTATACACAATGTCTTCGTTTTACGTTTTCCTTTTAAACACCTTATAGTGTCACAGCGCAGCATGTAATTTCATGAAATTTGGTAGTAGTTTACACGTGTCTTGACTAATGCGTTTAGGTATAGCAGTATTGGTACACAATGGATATTTCATCTTTTTCATTTCTAATTTGTTTTTAAATGGGTGTGCTTAAAGTTAGAATACCAGTTAATCTGTTCTTGCATAATAAACACGTAATCATATTTTAGTATCTGCCTGTTCTTGTGTGAAGTATAGTTTAGTCAGATCTTCTATTTTTCTCTTTCATTATCAAACTACTTTTTCGTGGTAATAACATCCTCCCAATAAAACATAAAATGATTTTTTGATAGTTTCTTGAGATGAATTCATTGTTTTGTGAAACAGCTAGTAGCCTGTTGAAATATTATCACATATGGAAAATAACTATCCCATTCTGTGCCATCTAGAATGACAACATTGCAATTATTTACTTGGTAATTTTGTTTAAATTTATCAGTCAGAACATTCTCAATGTATGACTCTTCAATTTCTTTGAAATGTATGATCCATTGCTCTGTCAGCATGTCTACAGCTGCTTGAGTGGTAGTAATGAATATTGTATAAGTTTCTGTCTTCAACAGCAACAAGTACAAATTGATTACCATAACATGTTCCTGAAGATGTCCAGAAGTATTCAGAACAATACTCTGCAGTAATGAACCAACAATTCAATGCTTTAACTTACTTTGATATATGGAGTTTTGTACAATGTCTGTATCACTGTTCTATGTACTATGCGATTTTGGATAATAGAATCAAGAAAATAGTGTAGCTATGGTGTGGAACACCATCTGGTGTCTTCTGGTTTTTCTTAACTGTAAAATCTAAATATTTTACTTTCTGAGAGACCTCAGTAGCATCGACTGCATGACTTTCCTAACTCTGAAACCACATGAATCACAACGTACTTGTAACATACACTCCTTAAGCTAGTAATATATATTTTGTCAGCTTCAGTGATGTGTTCTTCTCCTATACAGAGCAGTGGTCACTCACCACTTGCTACTATTTAGCTGTCACAAACCAGCTCAGTTCTGGATTCTAGCTGTTTTTCTCTACATTTTCTGCATCCAGTCATATCCTGCGAACCTGTTGTTTCCACTAGCTGGTCTTTCTAAGCGTTGGCCAGAAGATGGACATAGGTATCCATGGGAGCTTGTATGCCCTAATATATCGATCATTTGGATCGATCTGGATCTACTAAGTTTACTCATTCAGAGCAGTGATAAAGTATGCACTCATGCCCACTCTTATAATACATTTTACTACATATAGATAACAGCATAAATGTTTTTTAGATAAATGATAAATGGTAAGTAGTTCTATATTTTTTCACATATGCAAAAACTGCTTTACACAGTATTAATTCCAGGAAAGAACTGTTCCTGTGTCTGTCCCAGTAATGTCAGGATAAGATCGATAAAGAACTTATAGGCTAAACTTGGATAGGCCAGCTCTGGTGTCTTAACTAAAGCACACTTTTCTGAATTACATTTACCTTTTTCAGTGCCAATAGCGGAGCTATAATTGAGAAATTTGCTGTGAATTGCCAATAATAAGATACAAAGCTGAACCAACTGGGCACATGTTTCATGATAGCTGCTATTTTAAAAGGGTCTATTTATCAGGTGATGAAAAAATCTTGTCGAAACGTTATACATTTGCTGTTATGTTAAACTTATATTAAAGTTTTTCATCATTACCCATTCAAGCCGTCTCCAACCATTATTAGTTTAAAGTGGGTTCCTCGTCATCGAATAAGAGATAGTGTATTTAACATATCAATATTGATATAATTACATACATGGACATGGCCCTGAAAGGG